AATTCACAAAGTTTTTTAGGGCTTAACACGTAGCACCTAAGTTTAGGAGCGCTTAAGGTCGTCGAGAGGACTCACTAACTTCAATTAAGACCTATTCACAAAGAGTCTGAAAGATGGCTGCGAGACGAAATGTTTTGGGAGACAATGGGAAGAACTGTAATTGATCAAGAGATATAGGCTCCCTAAATCGTGAGGGTATCAAACTTGTTTGTGGAACTTAGTCGGCGGGATGCTGAATAACCATCCCCGACTAACAGGAATAACCCGATTAGTCCGGAAATAAAGTGTTTTGCACACTACGATATTTAGCAATGTGGGAAAATGCAACTTTGCAATGCCGACGATTTGGAATATCTGCAACATCAGTCAGCCTGTGTCGATAACCAAACCAATCAACGCGCTATCTAGACCACATATCATTCAACAGTTTATCCGGTTTGCACTTTGGACAATCAACACTATACAGGATCAAAATCGTCCAAACTTCATGGCAATTGTCAGGTATGCCCCGCTGGTGGTCGGTGCTATTGACGGGACGCACTATTAAAAGTCCATAATTGCGCCAACTCAAAAGATGAGGACGGTGTTCGTCAATAGAAAGAAGTACATTCATCAACACGCAGATTGTTTTCATTCATCATGATAGGGGGACTTGAACGCGTATGCGGCTGTTATTGAAGTGTTCCGAAGTGCTGGAAATATGCTCATTGACCAATAGTTTGCAGGGTGCTTTTAATTGCATCCTTGATGTTCATGTCAATCTTACGTATTTTATTGTTTGCTCTCTCTCTTTAACGTGCATATACAGACGTCATTATCGTGTCTGCACAAACTTGTCATGAAGCCCATGCGTGTCTGATTCTGCCTAACTGCATGCTGAGTCCATAACTCTTTGATAGGACATACATTTCTAGACTAGGCTATTTCCTTGTTTTAGTGGGCTCGTTTTGGGATGTTGCGGATGAGTGTTCAGAGAGACCGCCCGCTCTGAACAACCAATCATCCGTACTGACCGCCTTCTTAATTCATGCACGAGAATCGACGTAAACCATAGGAAACGGCGCGTCACTCTTATTCACTCTTAGTGATTTATCCTTAGTATGAGTAGGTCTCAGCGGCTTTGTGCAATAATTTTAAGAAAAAACTCCTCGTAAAATGTTTTTAGCGCGAGTTAGGAGCACTCCTGCGGTTAAGATAAAATGCTTTATGAATACGGCCCCTGGTCTTGTCTGGCTACTCACTTTCATTTCTCCACAGGAAACGTGGGCCTTGTATCCAGTTCTCACTTTGGATAAAACTCTCAACTTTCAGACCTCTTGAAGCTTGATCCGCAGGGTTCACAGAGCTGTTCACATATCTCCATTGGCTTGGTGTAGTAGCCTCACGAATGATTGAGATCCTGTTTGCGACAAAAGTTTTGAAGCGAGACGTTTCGTTCTCAATATATTTCAGTACAGTAGTACTGTCTGTCCAGAAGATAGATTGCTCCAGCTTAACCTGAGCTCTCTTCTTAGCATCTTGTCGACTTTGACGGCGATGACTGCTGCTGTCAACTCCATTCTCAGAATGGTGATGTGTTTCAGTGGAGCGACTCTGGACTTTCCGATCAGCAAGGAAACCTTTCTTTTGCCTTGGTTGTTTGTCTGCATGATGTAGGTAGCTGTTCCATATGCATCCATGCTGGCATCGGAAAAGTGGTTGCTTCTTCTCTACTACTACCGTTCTGTTCCGTCGCCTACCTCAACCACTCGTGGTAAGTCGGTGGTGTAGAGGTATTATGTATCTCCTTACGAACAAGTCGTATTATCTGTGTCTCTGAAGAGTCTTGAAGTCGACAGCTTCTGTTTCTCTCTACAGTTACTCCAGTAGTCAGTAGTCGCCAGTCACCATTTTAGCGTGTCAATTCCCTACCGTGATACGTAACCGAATGGGGGACCGCTTTGCTCTGTCGATTTACGGCTGTATGGACGTCCAGTCTCGTTGCCGCGTTCCAGAGGTTTCTTCGAGTCTTTTTTGGCCGACTGTTTCTAATGTTCCTGAGAGTACTCTGCCATATTAACCTTTTCGCATGCGACAGTTTTAAGGATATCTTGTCAATTCGGGCTCTTGCTACCTGCAACACCATCCCATGTATGGGAGTGCCAAGATGCTGGGGTTTCTTTTTGTTGCTATATCTATCACAAGCTGACGTGGAGGTGTATAGTTGCTTGGAGTGAATTGGCTATTCGACGAATGTGGTCCTGGACGGAGGTGTTTGTAGGAACAACCACAGGAAGACTTCCCAGTCTCTTCTCGGAAAACGACAACTCCGGCTTAACTCCGCTACAAGATGGTCCAGGTTTTAGGGACTGCGTTGGCTACGACCACAGCGACAGACGCTAGGCCTCTTATGTTACAACTATACTTATGTTCGTGTGGACTACGGTGATAAGGCTCTACACCGGTGACAGCATGCCGACGTGCAGACGGTTACGGACACGTGCGCACGGTCGATCTCGGCTTGGCCTCTCGACATCCTCATTATTTGTCTCGCTCCACGACTTTTTTCCAACGAGTACTTCGGAAAAGTTAGCAGTCGCTGACTCGTTAATCAAGAATGTTCAGACATACGTATGGTTCTTCTAGCAGTACGAGCAACAAATCCGGTCACTGGTACGTCTGTAGAGATGCGCTTTATTTGTCACCTCATGTAATCCCCGACTGTTACACTCACAGTACATCGGTATTTGGTCTTCCTGCATCCTAATTTATCCAGACATGTATTAGTGATCTTTCTTCAATGATCTTGTTGCCTTCAGTTTCTATGTACCATGTATAGATATTACTCATAGTAAAGTCATGATTTATTTATTAACTCTGAACCATATATTCACGTACGACTTAGTATTTAAGTACTGTTACTTATTTGGATGTACTATTTGTGTCTTTCCTTTCAATGTCTTTTGTATGTGTAGCAATCGTATATACCGCATTCTAGACTATCTAATGTACCAATGTACATAGTGCAACCGTGACTCCATCAAATAAGCTCATACATCCCCACGCTGCGAGCCAAAGACTTTGTCCTATCTAAAACGAGGAGATCGAAGCAGGACCGACTGTTACCAACCGCTGGACTCAGTGTTTGTATTTTTTAAGTAGTTACTTGTTCTCTATCGTTAAACGTTATATATCTACACATGTACTATACGGAGACCNATTCACAAAATCCTAGTAAAGCTTGTTCTAAAAACATATTGAATACGGTATATATATCTCCAGGTGAGCCAATATATATATATATATATATATATATATAGATTCTAAAATAGTCAAAGTAAAGTATGTCGATAAATAAAGTCATAGTATACTGTTCTATTAAAACAGCTCCTTTAAGACCCATTACATCATATTCACGACCCATTTCAAACTTATTCTTATTGTATATGGGAAGGAGGTGTTACATGTTTTACTTGTGACTGTTGGTGTGAAGTTCATGACCCACAAAATGAACAAATAAAAACACAAATGTCTTTGACAAGAGGCTGAAGAGTGAAGAAGGACCTCCCCTCCACGGCTCTTTCCACCGTTAATGAACTGAAAGTTAAGAGACACAGAGAAGCAGCGACAGAGTTCCTCTGAGCCGGACCACAGGTGGACTTTTCATTAGTAACTGTGAACCCACAGCAGAGATGAAGGGCGGGGCAGAGACCTCCACCCGCTGAGGTTCAGAGGCACACTATCAGAGAGTGACAGATGGAGTGAGGGGTGACCTCCCAAATGAAAAGCAAGTGATGAAGGAAGCAGAGGGAAACTCATAATACAGAAAAAGAGAAATGACCAATGGGTGGAAAGGATAGCGTGAGGAAATATCCAGAACAGAGTTTAGTTGGAGTAAGGGAGGAGAAAGGTGACAACACTTTACCTGCTGGAGAATGAAGGTTTTCATAGTGGCAAAGATGAGGGCAACATTACAAAAGCAGCACAGAGACACGACAGTAACCCAGCCGGCTCCTCTGAGCATTCTACTAGCAGCGCACTGACCCGACTGACATCCTGATCTCTACGCTGGAGAGCAAGCATCACTTCCAAAAAGAAAAAACACGATGTTACATTTAACATTTGTTTGACCATGAAATCAAATGAAAACGTGTGGCTATTATCAAACAAGTCCCATTAGAAACACCTAGAACATGTTTATTTTAGAGTCAGAAGGATTTTTAGATCAGGTCGTTTTTTTCTGATTCAGTTTCAGAGCTGAACCTTTCTTTGCTTAAGTTGTCTTGGTGATTAAAATGTTAAGATATTTATTATCCAGTGCACTTTAAGCTTACGGTTTTATTTCCATGAAAAAACCCAACCCACCAATAAGACCCCCTACTCTGTCTGTAGCACTTTGCTTCATGCTGAAGATATACATCTTTCAAAAATGTCCTAAAATATATAGTTTTCTTAAACAAATATGAAGTAAATAGTGCACTTATTGGACTATTTTTGATAGCGGAATAATACACAATCGGTGCCCTGCTGACTATTTACAGCAACAGGACAGTGCATGTGAGAGTCAACAAACTGTGTGTTATGTTCATGGGATTTATCGACAATATAAAGATTATAGAATTTCAGCATCTTATCTTTTTTAAGTGAATCTTTCCCTTTAGCTATCATGACTGTTGCTGTCACCGATCAGATGCTGCTACACAGTTTCAGCGTTGCAAATGAGAGGGTTGCTGAAAATGATTCTATAAATTAAGTTAAACATCTTGGCCTGACCAAACTGCCTATGATGGAACATTGAATTTATAATTTTAATCTCCCTTCCTCTCACCGACTCTGCGTATGTGACCGAGAGAGAAGCCCCTCCTCTGAAGAGACCCTCCCTCTCTTAATCACCGACAGCGTCTCCAGGTGAGCCAGTGTCAATGCAGTGAACCCTCATTATCTGTGTCAATGCGGTTGCCACGAAGCTGAGTTACTGCCGTGCCGAGTACAGGCCTAGAATCAATAGATGGTGTAATTACCAAATTCCTCCAGGACAAAGACTCCCTTCACTGTATTGCACTTTTTAATGTGACTCAGCTCTATGAAAACCTAAAAACAAACAAAAAACAAACAAAACAAGACAGAACATTATTAACTCAACAACACTGGATGAAAAGTAAACATTTCATATTAAAAAAATTAACCATGTTAAACTTGTTTTATTCAGTATGAAAGGTCAAAATAAAACAACTACACATGGAGTGCAAGCGTTTAACAGCTAACCAAAGGAAAAGAAAAGCACGCTATGAGAAGTTTCCATGATCAGACGCATACATGGGCGACGGGTCAATGAGGAGCAATGCATGTAGTCTGCTCAAAGCTCCAAACTAATTCAACAGGGCTTATTTCATCAGTGTGTCAGAAATGTGATGTTCTATCTGGATGTGAACAGCAAAGGTAGTTTAAATAAACACATGTGTTTTTATGCTCAGAGATGCAATATGGGCCTTGTGATGCATACATGGAAGTTCCATATAAAGATGTAGACAAAGGACACACACTTAGATGTTGCCATACAGCTACAACAGTCAAAATAAAAGGATAGAGGAAAACAAAAAGAAACCCAATAAGATGCAACTGCTAAAAAGCAAACACAGCAGAGGGTGTGTACCTTCCGCTCCTTGCAGGGGGAGAGAGCATGGGAGAGAAATGGTTTGGATTATTATCGGACAGGAGAGCACAAACACTCGACGACAGTCCGACAGGGGCTATCCACCACGGGACCCTCGCACACTTTAACAATCTAGCTAAGGAGTTACCAGAGCCAATATGAAAAAGAAAAAATAACGTCACAAGAGGAATCAGCCCCCCAAAAAACGGAGAAGGAAAAATGAACTAGAGACTTGACTATAAAAAGCTGGATTCACCTTTTCTTTTTCCTGGACATTAAACATCTCCGTCCCCAAGACCCTCCATGCCTCCTCCTCCAGCAACAAGGGCGGGCACCGACACCACACAGCAGCACAGACACATGGGGGGGGGGGGGGGGGGGGGCAGTAGACCCCCCGCTACGCAGAGGAGGTCACTCTGACCCCGCCTCACTGCAGACCCCAGTGCTCACTCACTATCACGCCCAATTTAGACTTTTTCAAACACATTTTAAAAAGTGTCCAAAGGACGTTTTATAAAGCTCCTGCTGAGGGTTACAACTATCTATGATAAATTACAATCTCAAAAATGTTGCTAATGAAAACAACGTGTTCTGGAAATGTGGTGCTCTACATTGAGCCTAATAGATTAGTGTTTGAGAAACGAATATCTTAGGAAAATTGTAATGAGCGTAATAACAACAACAGTGACTCAGTGTAGCAACATCACGTCTAAAGGATCAGTTCACCCAAATGGTAGAAACATTTCATCAGGCCATCTATTAAGCTTTGGTCTTAGAATAGTGATGAATGGACTTTCATCCATATGTGTGTGTGTGTGTGTGTGTGTGTGTGTGTGTGTGTGTGTGTGTGTGTGTGTGTGTGTGTGTGTGTGTGTGTGTGTGTGTGTGTGTGTGTGATGCTCAGAGCGATATTCAAAGCAGCGTTGACTGAGAGGGCAGATTGGAGCTATAAACAAGTTGTGTTTGTGGGCCCTGGATCAATGTTAGTCCAATATTCACTCTAATCTTAGCTCTGTTTTGCTCTCAACCAACCGCTAACATGTCCTGTCCTTAAGCTGATATGTGCTCCACCATGTCCAGAAGCTAATTGTTTATTCTTGATGTAAAATCCAAAATAATTGTCTGAAAGGCAATCAAACTTTAAATGATCCAAATTTAAAATGTGCATGAGTTCCCCTTTTAAAGAAGATGTACTGAGAAATAACCTATTCACCGACAAGATGTGTGAACTGTTGCAAACGGTTGAAAGTAGTTCCTAAAACCTCTGTGGTGAAGTCTGTGCAGAGTAATGGAAATATCGTTGCTGCTAAATATGTAAAATGTTAGTTGTTGGCACAACAAATTAAATCATATTAGGTTGGAGGAGAAAACTCTGGGAGAAATATCTAACGTGTGTCTTGTAATTTGGGTGAACTGATATTTAAAATGACTTCTGTTGTTCATTCTAGATAGATGTTGGATCTTTTTCGCTCTTTGGTAACACCTCCCACTTCCATTTTGTTATTTTGAGAGATGCATAGTGTGTGCAAAGTGTGTGTCAGCTGCAATGAGTCCCTCCCTGCTCTTTCAGCATGGTCTTCTCTTCAGAGTCTCACACTACAGATCAAAGCTACCCAGACCTGAGGCAGTATTCCAACCCCGACTACAACGACCTGCGCAGACGTGAAGATAACACATGGCGATGTTCGAGGGTCCAAACTTAAATGTGGAAGTTGCTATTAAATAGCCAATTATTAATGAAAAGTCTTTGCTCAAGGTCATCCGCTTTACCACGACACACACATTAACACTTCATCTCCTCCCACACAGTAAATGAACAATGAGGTTTGAGCACCACGGATGTCAAAAAGAAAAACTTGTGTGGAAGGATGTGTTAATATTGTACACACACACACACACACACACACACACACACACACACACACACACACACACACACACACACACACACACACACACACACACACACACACACACACACACACACACACACACACACACACACACACACACCAAAAATAAGCAAAAGCACAAACAGGAATTCTTCCTCTAAGGGAAAGCTTCAGAGTAGACGCCAATCAACGAGTTGTCAGTCATCGCTAACATTTGACATCAGATTGACTTTTTTTAATGACAATAGAGGAAGACGTCACGGGATGAAAGGAAATGAGGCAAACAGGAGGAGCAGAAAGGAGGACAGAAGGACGGGATGGACTCTGAAGGAGTGATTCTGTATTTATGGGCATGCCCTTGTGTGAGATGAGGAAGCAGTTTCTCTGCTGTGGAGCGAGCCTCTCACCTGGCTGTGCATGAATTTAAGGTTGATTCCTTCCAGTGTGACCTGCAGCAGTCCTCCTTCTCCAGTCTTCATGTCCTGGACCGGGAACTCTCCACCCAGCTCCGGACCTGAGGGGACAACACCTGGGGTTAGAGCGAGTCTGGAAAATACATTACAACATTTAAAAAAAGATCTCAGCAGGCTGACTGAAAAGAAATAACACGTTGATGAGAAATGTTTTAACTTATGACAGACATGGATTCATATCATTATGTCTTTAAATTCATCTAATATAAGATGACAGCTTAAACTATTTTCTCAAATAAATCACAACTTTTGAACAATTGTTAATTACAAGTTTAGATTGACCTAATGATATATCAATAATAATATAGATGACTAATTTCTGCCTTTCCTCTTCTGTACCAACATGATACAGTCTTTAACTGAGTACCCTAACAACCCTACTCAAATATGAAAATGTCCTCTATGCCCAGTACTCCCTGAGAAAAGCTGGGTTGTTAAAAAAGTCAAAATGATTATGATGGCATTTTGGAAAAAGACAAAAAGTGCAGAAAAGTGTCTCCATACCTGGTTTGATGCTTTGCTGTCTCGCTGCAGCTCTTTCCATACTGTCTTTGACACAGTAGTAGAGTTCACGACACTGGAATGCAAAGAGGAAACACATTTGAATTTGAAGCATTACACTAAGTAAATAAAGTAGCCGTCTGCAGAGAGATGCAGTCCCTGACCTTTTTGGTATAGAACTTGTTGAGCTGCGTCTCTTGGCCGTTGCGTCTCCAGAGACAGAGCACCTTGGTCTTGGGGCAGTAGGTCATGTTGATGAGCTTCTCGTACCACCAGCGCTCGTACACGGTGCCGATGTTGCTGCGCAGGACGATGCAGTCATCACACACCTGAAACAATGACCAGCAAACTTTAATAATAGAAAGAGGACGCTGCATTGTTTTGGAAAGGCCTGTTCAAATTCAATGATCTCCAGTTGTAGCATTGGAAATGACAGAGTGTAAATACCTCCATGAAGAAGATGTCGCCGGTGGTATCCGTGCCAGCGTGTACAACAAACGTCTGCTTCTTGATGTGACGGCTTCCACTGGGCCTGATGGCCAGCTCTCGGCCATTCTAAAACAATATCAATATAGTTCAGTACAACTCATTAAAAACAGCTGTTGAACGGAATTGAAAAGCCAGATATTCACCAAGTTGGGCAGTTTGTCCAGTGTCTCATTGATCTCTTGGCTGTATGTGAGGCCAATGTGGGACTTCCCCATCAAACGCCTCACTTTCTTCTTGACGTCATTTTTGTTCAACTAAAACAGACACAAATATCAGAAGGTTGAGATATTTAGAGGTAAAGAAACTTGGAACAGATCAAGTAATATTAACGCTCTGCGATGATCAAAACAGCAGAAGGTTTCCGTACTTTAATCATGAGCATGAAAGCGATCATATTGTGCAGCAGGGTGGCCAGAAGTCTGTCTTCATCGTCCTCCAGACGCTTGCGGTCGTGATCTCCAAGTGATAAGTATCTGTGTGGATGAACAAGACACAGGAAAGTAAGTGTTAATAGTACGGGGGTTATTTAGTAATTGAGAATGATAACCACTTTGGATAAAGGGTCAGTGGTGTGGAACCTTTCAATCATCTCCTGGGGTCCCTGGTCCATGCCCATGCCCTCACGCTCCAACATCACAGCGTCCAAGTAGGCGTCCTCCCAGAACTGCACTTGGTCCCACAGTGTGGAGCGCTCTTTACCTAAACACATGCAGAAAATACAAATGTAGCTCCCAAAATGTGCACATAGACAATTTCGTGGACGTGTCATACAACATGCAGCCACAGGCACACGTTCTTTGATACAAGCCAAAGAAACCCATTTGTGTCCGAAAGGGGAAAAGTTTAATTTGCACAAATATGAAGGTTTTAAATTTGGTGAAACCGTTTGGATTGGATGTAATTTCTTATTATAATTCTATATTAAGTCTTTGGACACGTGGATCACAGAAATTACAAGGATTACAAACAAGTATTTTATTTCTATGAAGTCACAATAAGTGAAATACAAAAATGATGCTGACACATGCAATGTAAAAAATTGCATATACAGTATGATAATTTAAAGGATAAAGTAAATAACACAAATCATTTACACAGAATGCAAAAGACATAATTTTTTAAAAACTTATTTATAATATCAGTTGCGAAAGCTAGTTGAATTTTTCCCACCCCTTTCACATTGTAGGAACTCATTGGAAATGTCTAAATCTTCCCCAGCTGGTGGCTTGTTCAAGTGGACTCAACTGATAATTACATCTCTGACAGCACTTGAAGGCAACTTGAACACATTGAATACCAGTCAAACCCATGAATAACTGGGTTCAAATGTAGGTGAGCAGAAACTAAAGTAAGTGTAAAAAGTAAAAGTGTACATCTTGACAGCTCTGTGAGTTACATGTGGCAGGTCTGCTAATCTCTATCTCATGCTTGGAAACTATAGGTTACTGACGTAACCCCAGTTCTCAGAGTAACATGTAGTGAGATGTCTCACTATGGGATGCGCCTCATCGCGGAGCAAACAGAAACATCAATCTCATTACGCCAATCCTGATTGGCTGGTGATCTTGAAGTCAGCGTCAGGGAATCCACCCACCAGTAGCTTGCGCCACCTCGCGTCGTCAATTCAAAATAAGCACCTCTTCTCGCTTCACCTTAGCAAGGAGGGCCGTCTGGTGAGACATCTCACTACATGTTAATCTGCGAACTGGGGTTACGTAAGTAACCTATAGTTCTCATTCATAACACTCCGTTCGATGTCTCACTATGGGATATTGAAGCTCCCGTATTGCCAGACAAGCTTATCTCGAAAATCACCAAACCAACCAGAACTTAACAGGTAGAGCTCTGACTCAACACGGGGCCCAGCACTGCGCGGGCCACACTAGGAGCAGAGACGTCGAGCCTGTAAAAGCGGACAAAAGTGAGCGGCGAGGACCAGCTCGCCGCTGCACAAATGTCTTGGATGGAAACACCCTTGAACAAAGCCCAGGATGTAGCCAGACCACGAGTCGAATGAGCACGCAGACCCGTAGGTGCCTGCAAACCCTGACTCGCATAGGCCAAAGCAATCACTTCCACAATCCAGTGGGAGAGCCGTTGCTTGGTAACGGGCTTGCCCTTGTGAGGGTTAGCCCAGGATATGAAGAGTTGGTCACTACAACGAAACTCTTTTGACCTGTCCATATAAGTGCGTAAAGCACGAACTGGACACAGCAAATTTGGCCGCTGTTCCCCGGAGGAACACTGCGGCGGAGGAAATGCCTCAATGTCAATTGGGGTACATGAACCAACCACCTTAGGTATAAAGGCAGGGTTGGGCTTCAGCAACACTCTCGTTTGCCCCGGGGCAAACTGAGTGCATGAAGGATGTACAGAGAGCGCATGAATATCACTGACTCGTTTGGCGGATGCCAGGGCCAGTAACAGCACTGTCTTCAGCGACAGGTGCTTTATGTCAGCTCCTTCCAGGGGTTCAAATGGGGTTCGAGTGAGCCCATCTAAAACCACTGTCAAGTCCCATAAGGGCACCAGTGACCTGGAAACAGGGAGGAGCCTGCGAGCTCCCTTCATAAAACGGCAGACCAAAGGATGTTGGCTAGCCGTCTTACCCTCAAAGCCCACATGGCATGCAGCAATAGCAGCCAGGTACACTTTGATCGTAGAAAAAGCTCTGTGTTTATCAATTAGGTCCTGTAGAAATGATAAAATCACCCCAACAGGACATTGAAAAGAGGTGTGTCCTTTTTGAAGGCACCATTTCACAAACACCCTCCACTTACAGTCATAGAGAGACCTGGTGGAGGAAGTTCTTGCACTCTGAATAGTGTTTATCACCTTCTGCGGGAGACCCACTGTATTCAGATTGTACCACTCACTGGCCAGGCCCATAGGGCCAGGCGCTCTGGGTGTGAGTGAAAGATCGTCCAGAGACCCCTCACCGGTCGACCTTCGTAAATACCTCCCAAGCCCGTCAGACATGCGTCGATGGTGACCACCTTCCGCGATAGGACAGCACCCATAGGCACGCCCCGTACTAGAAAAGTCGGGTGCAGCCAGTGGCGCAGTGCCATTACGCATTTCACAGTGACCATCACTCTCCGCGCGTCATGGCGGCTACCCAGCGCTGAAACTCCCTCATGTGTAACCGTCGCAGTCGTACCACCAGGATGGCTGACGCCATGAGCCCCGGTAACCGCAGACATGATCTGAAGAGAACATATTTGCGCAGCCGGAAATGAGCGAGACAAGCTCTGAAAGCTTTCACTCCTTCCGCTGACAGGCGGGCTGTAAAGGGCACCGAGTTCAGGTGTAGACCCAGGAAGAGTACCGTCTGGGCTGGGGACAAAATGCTCTTTTCTGTGTTTATTATGAAACCCAGGTCGAGCAGGTATTTTACGAGGATATTTGTCTGCGTAATAGCCTCCTGTTCCGACTGTGCGAGAAGCAGCCAGTCGTCCAGGTAGGTTGCCAGGCGAATACCCTGTTGTCCTAACGGGGCTATCGCGGCTTCCGTACATCGCACAAACACTCTTGGACTGAGAGACAGACCGAAGGGAAGCACTCTGTACTCGTAACAGACACCCTGAAATGCGAACCTCAGATATTTCCTGTGTGGGTAATATACTGGGATGTGGAAATACGCATCTTTCAGATCGACTGATGTGAGCGAGTCGTTTTGTCGCACGAGACGTAGCAGAGATGTGTGAGTGAGCATTCTGAATTTGTATCTTTTGAGATAGTTGTTCAGAGCTCTCAAATCTAGTATTGGCCGAATTCCGTTCCCCCCCATTTGGGAACCCGACGGATGTGACTAACCAGCACTGAAGCAACTGAAAGCCGCTGCTGACTCGTTCGTAGGTTATTATCAGATACTTTTCAGCCAATCTGGACTGGCAATACATGCGTGTCTTTCGAGTAGCCGAGACAGGAACATCTCACGCTACCAGAATACGAAGCAGCGACTGCAAAACCCATCCCCACGAGCTTGACTGATACAGAAACGCCCGAGATGCGAGAGGGGTGACAGCGAATTGCATCCTCGTAGATCGTGTTACTGAAGTTCCTTCAAATCCCAAGAATTGAGCTGAATGACATTCCCTCCACCTGACAGTGCTCTTGTAACTTAGGCAGATAGCAAGAACTCACTGTCTCTGGTATTAAGTCTGTTTCGCCTCTGAGCTCTCTATCATGTTGTGTTAGGGCTCACGATCCCTATGTCTGAACAGGCGATCCAGGTTTGATAACCCCCAGCCACACCTGCGCATGCGCGTGGGCCCGAGCGATGTAGCGAGAGCATGACAGCTACTTGACACCCAGAGCCAGGTACACGAATCGTACACATCACGACACACACACGCCCTTTGAGACGGAGCGAGCCACCCGTACACCATGGCACCTCAACACAAGAGGGAGCAGTGACAGACTGTTTATGACGACACGACACATTTTGATGTTTTTCTTTTCATTTTTTTGGACACGCGCCCCATACCGCACGAGACAACACACCACATGAAAACCACACACAAAGTCATTTCATCGAGTTCTCACTATCATATCTAGATCTAGCAACAACAATGTGTATCTATGTCACGAGCACAATCACACGTTTTGTGCTTAGGCAGATACGCAAGCACAACTGCCGCTGTCTCTGGTCATAAGTCCTGTTTACCTTCTGGCACGAACTTGCAGGATGGCGTTGCGGGCATCCACTCTAGGGCACTCCACAAGAAACAACACCACAAACCACACACAAGACCCACCACCACACCAACATTCTCTATCTTTTCACGACACAGACACACACAGCACTCTCTCTCACTCTCATCACTCACTCACACACAAACACACACAACAGCACACACACACACACAACACACAACACACACCCACACAAGACGACGACGAGACGACAGACAGGAAGACAGAAGACAGACAGACAGACGAGACAGACACGACAGACATAAGACACCCAGACACACACACACACACACAAACACATGCGCACCAACACACACACACACACATACACAACACACCAGCACACTATCTTTCACAAACAGACCACACTCTCGTCTTCACACACACACACACACACCACACCACATCACACACACACACACCACACCCACTCTCTTCTCGTCTCTATCTCTCACACACAGACCACACTCTACCCGCTCGTCACTCCACTCACACACACATCACAAACACACACACACACACACACACAGCACACAA